CTTTTTTTTTTTTTTATTTTTTTATTTTTTGACGCAGTTCCCAGTCTTGCCGAGGGAACATGGGAGACACACATGCCGTGCGGTGCATGCGTCGCACAAACAGCCTCATGGCGCGTCGCTAAATATTTCCCAATTGCATCAATTTCACCTGCCATGCCACGCTGGAGTCCCGCCAGGGACGGGCCCGATTTGCCGACTGTCGACCGAGCGCCCGTGCACGAGGTACCTGGGCGGAAAGTATATACGTACATGTGCATGTACCACGTTCCTGGGGAGCAAGCGAGCGGGGGAGGGAGGGAAATGTGACTCGGCAGGAGAGAAAAGAAGGGAAGGGAAAGGAAAGGAAAAATGACGAGTCGAAAAGCAAGTGCGGCAGAAGCTGGCAGAAACCACCACACTGACTCGAGTTGAGACTTGCGATTCTTCTTCCTGCTCCGCTTCCTCCTCCCCCTCGGTATTTATGAAATATGTGTCGAGACAGGCAGGGCGGCGCAGCCATTCCACCGTGCTTACAGAGTGCTCCTTCAACTTCGCATGCACGTACATACATGCGCATGCATGCATGTGTGTGCATATGGTGATCAAGACTCTGGACCTGGGGTCTCGACAGCAGCTGTAACGGCGTGCCGAGTACGGAGTACTCCGGACGCATGTACTCTGCACGTCTGTCGAGGCTGAGGCCGTGCGCCGACCGTCCCATCTGAGCTGATGTCTATTCTGGGGAAAAAAAGAAGAAAAAAGGGCAAAAAAAAAAAAGAGGAAAAAAGGAAAAAGGAAAACACCGAGGTGGCTTTTCCGTCGTCGTGGCCGTCACGTTCCCACGTGGTTTCGCAGTCGACAATCGGGCAAGCGACAACGTAAATCCCTCCCTGGTGCGCTTGCACCGTGCGTGCGCCCGAGTGCTGACGATGCACGGGTGGTTGGAATGGATGGAATGCTTCTCGCACATGTTGGCTGCGAGTCCGGATGCCGGATGCCGCGTGCCATGTCCATGTCCGTTCCCATCCCCGTCCGCGTCCGCGTCCGACCTGCGTCATCTTGGCCGCCGTTGAGAACCGACGACAAGACGCCGTGTATCCGGAGCAAATATCCGCCCGACTGCACGTCATCTCGCCTAGCCGTGCTCTGCCTTTGTCGACACGTGCCTTGGAGAACGCAGACGACCCGACCACTGTGGTTGACCTGACCTGGCTATTGCTGTGGGCGCATGCTGCTTCGCAATTGGCTAGAAATCGCATTACTACCACAAGGACTTTGGCAGCAGTGTTGAGCAGAATGCAAGAGAACGAGGGGTCCATGCTCCCATGGATGCCTCTCCTAGGCGCATTTAGAGTTAAACTTTTATTAACAATGAGCGGCGATTTCGCCACCAGTTGTGGTGGTCATGCCCAGCATGGCTGGTGGACGGTGGACGGTGGACGGTGGACGAGACGCCTAAGATGCAGCGCCGCTTCAAGGCCCTGCGGCGAGTTGTCCTGGTGGGGGCCACCACAACGGCCGGCCAGTCCTCTCCCACCTCGGTAGCCGTGCCCCGCCGCGGCAAGGCTGAAGCTCTCGCCCCCTCCAGGCAGGAACTGCACGTCAAGGCTGCTTTCTCGAAACCGCTCTCCAGACACCCTCGCACAATGGCGCCACCCCCGACCGACTTGCTGCCGCCTAGAATTGGAAGCTTTCAGACATAAAACCTTTGTTCTGCTCCGTCTTACAACCTCAGACGTCGGACGCCTTGTCCTCCCCCGGGCACGATAATGTTCAGGATGAACTCTTTGACCGGAAGACTTCCAACACTTGGAATCCAAAACCGGCGACCGATGTCGAAGACTCAGCCTTGATGACCAAGATGGCTGCAACGACATCAACGTCCATGACCGGGTTCAGTTCTCTGGAGGAAAACCTCATCCCCAGGGCACTACCGACACGCTGTCGAGCAGGGCAACAGGAGCTTGCTGCTCCTAGCCGCCTGTGAGGCGTAATGGCGCGAGATGCAGCACGCCATGCTTCCTTCTCCTGCTAGCTGCTATGCTATACCCTCTAGACGTTACAAATGCTGGGGCGTAGCTCTTGCAGCTGTTTTGAGCATCTCGGCCCAACGCCCTGCCCCTCCCATGACTTTTTTGACTGGGCACTTTATTCGAAATTCGTAGGACGCAAGGGAGAGGAGAGGAGCTGGGGGAGCAGCTCTCAGGTATACATCAGAAAGACTTTCGTCCTGTCTGCAAGATGGCTGTGGGAAATAAGCTTGACCAACTTCAGGTAACATTGCCGGTCAATGAGCAGTCTGCAAGCAACAAGGGCCCCAGGTGGCGGTTGGCGGCGCGAGGGGGGGGGTTATTTTTGTACCAGCACAACGCTGTTGCACACATGAGCGTCTGTCTATGTGGCATTTGGCAGTTTAATCTACGTGTTAACAACAAGCTTGGAGGAGGACAGACCGTAGGCCGATTGCATGGCGGCACTTTTCGCAGCGCCTCTCTGCATGCAGGCGCCGACGTGCAAGACGTACTATTATTTGTCTCACGAGGGTCCGAAACTTGACCCCGTGTTTCTTGCGGCATGCAGCGGAGCGGAGGACATTGAAATCCGCGCACAGCTGGCGGGATTGAGCTGCAAATGCGGCGTGTTTCTTTCAAACCAAGATTGACACGACGTTGGACTGCTCTCACTCTCCTGGAGCGTCGAACTTCTCCGCCCTGACATGTGCTTACTTCCGATTACGTGCCTCTACTGGTTGGCGAAAGAGGCTGATGAAGCCAAGGACTTTTCTGGGGGCGGGCATTGGCTTGTCGGGTGGCATCACCGGTTTCCTCTCGCCGCCTTGAGACGATGTATCGCTTTGTTCGTTGCATGCCCTGAATGCAAATGTGGCAGCTGTATCCGTTGAAGTGAGTTCTTGCCTGGTTTGATCCAACATTATTCGCTCCAGTATCAACACCACCTGGCTGGTTGTGCCTAAAACAGGGAACCGCGACAGACTGTAAGAAAACACTGTAAACACGTGCCATTGAATGATGCGCAAGTTCAGACGTCTTGGCCTGCCTGTTTTGATGAGTGCATTGATTTGCGGACATGGTGTGAAATGCTTCGGCTAGAGTTCCTTTTGGGAGTACTCTCCGTCTCCTTGTGAATAATCGCTCTGTCCAAGCCGCACTCGACCTTGTTCGTGCCTTGTACAGTCACAAGATCCAAGGTTCACGTGAATTACAGTGATTAAGGCATGGACCGTACCCTGTTTGTCGCAGAATACAAACATTCAAAAGAGGCTATCTGTCTCAGCCCGTGCCAAATCACACCTATATCAAGAACCCTGCTTACCTGAGTCTAGTCTTTCCTGCTAAAATATTTTCTGCCTTGTAGCCTGGTAAAATACGGTAGTTGAATATATATATGGCAGATCCCTCAACTAGCACCAGCCTAGCATACTGGCCGTTTAGCCTATTCCACGAGCGGGACATTGACGGAGCAGTGTCCGCAGCCCGATGCCGCCTCCTTGGCTGATGCCCCCCAGGAACAAGCTGCCGGCTTGTCCGCCGAGTTTGACTTCAGTGTCGATCAAGTCCTGCAGGTACTTCGCCGAGTCTTTGATATCACCGGTTCGGAGATGTTGTCTCGCAGCAATGTCGGTCCACGAGTGTGCTTCGACCCAGACCGGAATGGGCTCCCGAACTGAACCAGGTGAGATCCAAGAACTCTTGAGAGAATCCTTGGCCGTTGCTGCCGCGCCCGTGTAGCGTTGTCATGGCATGTGTTGACGACATGGCGTTGAAGTTGCTTGGGAGGAGTTGACGGGGCGGAGCAGAAGCGACTGGCCAGGCATCTGAAGCCTGTATAGATTGAATGGAGGAAGGCGTCTGCCGTGACGTCAATGCACTACGATGGCTCCAAGTCATTCCGTCTTCCGTAGTATAGTGGTCAGTATGCAAGCTTGTCACGCTTGAGACCCGGGTTCAATTCCCGGCGGGAGAGCCACGCCGTCGCTCACTCGTTTGAGCCCGCACCAGGAGGTGACTGCTGGTGATTTTTTGCTTTTGCATCACGCCTACTTATTTACCTCGAGAATTTGACACCACTGGAAAACGGGACTCGGAGTTGGAGTAGCAACGCTGCCACACGTGGCGCTGAGTTGCGACAGCTTCACATGCCGCATGTGGATCGAGTTGACGCTCCTTTTATGCCAGGTGCCACCAAGTCATCAGCTACACGTCAATAACGGATGCCAGCCGAGTCGCAAGTCTACGTCGACGGCGTACGTCTTGTCACAACGCCCGCGTGGTCGTAAGATCGGTGAGGTAAGATCCATGAACTGGCTCAAACTTCACGGTTATGTGTAGCAAGTCGTGTGTTGCTGCGGCTCACCTGCTCTGATGTCATTGGTGAGCACAATGCCAATGCCGCGATAGTAATTCAATCCCTGCCAGATAGATGCTGTCGACGATTCCGGATGTAACCACACGCCTGCACAAGCATGCCCGTGTGCTTAACAGAACGGCTGCGTTCTCTGGTTGAGCGTCTGGCTACACGGGCCATCTTGTGCCAAGTAAGATTGCGTACGGATCCGCGTTTTATTGCTTCAACTGCTTCAGCTCCTTCGGCGAGCAGACTTGGCCAAGCTCAAGCTCGCTGACTGTGCGTTCTTTGGGGGCCAGGGATCCCTCTTGCTCACCGTCCAGGCGTTTTGAGAGGCAAGAGGTCAAGGGGGAGGGACCTGTCCAGTGTCGTCTCTTGAAGCAAGAGGCGGCATCTCAGCTTGGCACTGACAATTGCCGGCTCTGGTCGTATAGACTCTGCTGCACGGACATCTTGCCAGCATGTGTTCCGCCAATTCTCGTGGAACCTGTCACGATGGGTCGCCAACTGTCGCCTCTCGCTATTTACGGCCTGTCGCTGATTACCCGGCGTCTTGCTCTCTCTCTCCCGATCCAACTTGAACTTGGGACTGAAATCAACTCTCGCTTGGCAATCATCCACGTTTCGAGGTCCGAGGACGTACCCGGACTGATTTCTTTCACCTACGGAGCAGGCGAGGCGAAGTCTGACCTGGACACCCAGGGCACCGTTGCCAGCACAGAACGCATCACTTCAGACTCGAGACTTGTATGGGCCGTTCCAACAAAACACCTGCCCGGGGACGAGTTCATGGTCGAAATGGCCAGAAGCATGTACAGAGCACACGGAGAATGGAGCGACGGCGGCCTCGACGGGCAGCAGGGAGACCGCTGGTCCGAGTTTGCCTACACATCGCAGCATCTCAGGGGGAATCTCGACACGACGGACGTGCTCGACAGCCAGCAGGACCCGCAGGGCAGCTTCTGGGAATACCTCTACGGCCGGCTCTGCGAGAGTGCGGATACGTGGAAGACGGTCGACGGCGGCCTCGGCCGACTGCCGCAGTCGTTCGAGCCCTGGTGCGCGAGAAGCTCGTCTACGACACCAGCTGCAAGGTCGCGCTCGACTACTCGGAGCGCTTCTGGGAGAAGCTCGACAACCCTGGGCGAGCCCGTCTGCCGGGCAGCACGAGCTGTACATGCCCGAGAACTTCAGGGTGCATAAGAACGTGAGTACGCTGGTGCCGGGGAGCGCCGAGCCTCGGGGAGGTTCAGACGGATGTGCGCGAGTCCGTGTTGTTTGGTTCTTTAGGCTGACGCGCTGCCTCTACCCAGTTGATCTTTGTGGGCGAGCACACGCCTCACACGCGCGGCTGGATATTCTCTGCCTTGAATTCAGGAGTCAGGGGCGCCGTGCAAATGCTCCTAGGTGAGCCCAGTATCCTGTCACCCCAACGTCAGAGGCAGTGTTCCTAATTTGCCATGTCCCTTGGAGCTGGGGCTCGTCGACGAAGCCAAGGCCGCTGTCAAGGAGTGGCTCGGTAGGTGAATGGAACCCAGGATCGGCAATCCAACTGCACGAGTCCAGCATGTCGTTGAGTGCCAAAGCGACTCTGTAAAAAGTCCCCGTCTGACGGGCTATTCTGTGCTTTGTCTCCTTGAAATGTCGGGTGCAAAGTCACTCTTGCCGTGCAGTAGTCCATGTTTCCGCATCTGTTGCCATCTCAAGTCGGGGCAAGCCAGATGAGGTCTTGACGAAGGCACAAGCTCCATGTGAAGACGTGTAGAAACACATATACTCAACAGCGGCGTGGCGAGTCTTTGACCTCAACACGATTGCCGGACACGTAGATGATGACAGTCACGAGTTCCAGGGGACCAAACAAGGTGTGGACGAACTTGTCCGCGGCAAAGATGACGACTTGACACCGACGTCGTCACGGCTCACCGGGGGAGACTACGGCCCCGGATAGGAGCCTTTCTCGGGATGCGACAGGCAGAAACTGTCGAATGGCTCGGAATCCGACGAGCACTGAGCTGGTTGCGGACTGACGACAGGGCTCTGTTGTGACGTGCAGCACGACTGCTTTTATCGCCTCCGAGTCCAACCAGATGGATTATGCACCTAGTTCTTGAGCTTGATTGACGGCATGGCTACACCACGAGGTCGTAGATGCGCGAGCAAGGGTCCAGGTGCAAATCAATTCCGAGGTAGCCCCAATACGAAGCACTGGCCGGGGTTAGGGTTGATGGGGCACGCTCGGATTTGTACGACCTTGAGTCCGAGTGGAACGGGACCTTGTCGTAAAAGCTCCAAGAGCACGACGAGTCTGTGGTTGTCTGGAAGCGAGCAACCCCAAGAAGCAAGTGGTAATCTACACCAAAACCAAGCGGTGGCGGTCAACGATACACGCAAGCAGGAGCGGCACTCACCTCATCCAAGGCCTGCAGTGAAGTTGCCCGATCCCAGGGACGACGGACAAAAATCCGAGTCGGCGCAGCGGCTTCCATCGTCGGCGGCTCGGCTGACTGACAGAAAACCGCCTGCCAGGACCGCGACTCACGGGCGGATTGCTGACGGAGGGCCGAGACTATGAGAGAGCAAGGCTCTGACTGATGAGCAGCAGCTATGCCCACGTACGAGTATACACCGTTGACACTCGGCAGTCCATTGAGCACTGAACCCGGGCATGGGCACCCCGTCCTGCGTCAAAAGCAGTCGTTGAAAGGGGAAACGCGGTCAACACGTTCAAGTGACGGCAGGCTTTGCTCGCTCGCCCCTGCGATCGACGTCCCCTGGATGTGCTGCCGTCCCCGACTGTACGAGGGCAAAACGCTTCTCACTCGGCGGCGGGCACAAGGAATGCCTGTCAGGAATGAAAGGGCGTTGCATGCCACAATGCAGAGTCCATTCAACCCAGGACTGGACAATCAGAGATTCCGAGCCCACATGATCAAGACGTATGGTTGTCCGGGATGCGCGTACAAACATTGTCTTGTCCTCGTCGTTGGCCACGGGCAGCTCTTTTCTTTTCCTTTTTTTTTTTACGAAAGAAGGCGAAGATGAAGAAGAAGATGACGATGATGATGGTGACGAAGAAGAAAAGAACAGTCGGGCATCAGAGATCCCCGTCTCAGGTCCCCGAGACAAAGGACAGTCGAACACCAAGCAGAGTCCTCATTGTCCAGGAGAAAACGGCCGTCCATTCAACTTGGTTGTGCGAGGCTGCCAGAGCACGCTCCGTGACAATGGCCCAACAGCTTCGTACGTCCAACCTGTTTCAACGGGACAAGCAGACGGGTGAGTCTTCTCCTGTGTCGGCACCCATTTGTCCAAGTGGAAGGCCAACCTGGCCTTTGGACACTGCGGTCTGTACTCGGAGGGGACCGAATGCGGCTTTGGTAGTCGTCCATTCCGGGCATTAAATAATGCGCCGCTCGCCGCGTTGTCGAGGTTCCAGAATTCAGAGTATCCCAACAATAACAACGACAGCAACGACAACAACGACAACAGCAGCAGCAGCAGCAGCAGCAACTGCGACAAGTCAGCAACTTCTCTTCCTCAGATCAACCAAAGCCCCATCGACTCCCGGTTCTTGACAATGTCCGACCCCGGCAGATCCAATAGCCAGGCCACAAACCCCAACTGCCAGCACCGGTGCGACGACCGGTGTCGGCAAAGGCAGGACGGCGACGCAGGCCCGCCTCGAGACGGAGACGGAAGCCAGGATCGAGGCCGAGCCCCTCTCGCCTGGTACGAGAGGCTCGATGGCCAAGCCGGCGGCCAAGGCGGCCGCGATGCCGACGGCATGAACAGCTCGTTTCGAGACTTTAGCGGACACGCCTTGGTGCAACAGACCAACAACGGCTCGGGCTCGGGGGCACCACCGGTCAACAACAGCAGCAACAGCAGCAACAGAAGCAACAGAAGCAACAGAAGCAACAGAAGCAACAGAAGCAACAGCAGCAACAGAAGCAACAGCAGCAACAGAAGCAACAGCAGCAACAGAAGCAACAGCAGCAACAGAAGCAACAGCAGCAACAGAAGCAACAGCAGCAACAGAAGCAACAGCAGCAACAGAAGCAACAGCAGCAACAGAAGCAACAGCAGCAACAGAAGCAACAGCAGCAACAGAAGCAACAGCAGCAACAGAAGCAACAGCAGCAACAGAAGCAACAGCAGCAACAGAAGCAACAGCAGCAACAGAAGCAACAGCAGCAACAGAAGCAACAGCAGCAACAGAAGCAACAGCAGCAACAGAAGCAACAGCAGCAACAGAAGCAACAGCAGCAACAGAAGCAACAGCAGCAACAGAAGCAACAGCAGCAACAGAAGCAACAGCAGCAACAGAAGCAACAGCAGCAACAGAAGCAACAGCAGCAACAGAAGCAACAGCAGCAACAGAAGCAACAGCAGCAACAGAAGCAACAGCAGCAACAGAAGCAACAGCAGCAACAGAAGCAACAGCAGCAACAGAAGCAACAGCAGCAACAGAAGCAACAGCAGCAACAGAAGCAACAGCAGCAACAGAAGCAACAGCAGCAACAGAAGCAACAGCAGCAACAGAAGCAACAGCAACTCGCGTGCAGCACGAGGATCCACGCCATCCGGAAACCAGATGCGCGGCCGCTACTGCGTGTCCACCCACGTCAACTGCAACTTCTCCATCGACAACCGCAGTGCCGAGTCCAACGACGTCTCAGGCGCCGACGGGGCCCTGGAGCTTCTCGACGACCCTGGCTTCATCGAGCCCAGCCGGTGGTGGAACCATCAGCGTCTTGACCATGGCCCTTCCGCCTCCGTGCTCTCCGCACGCTACACGGAGCATTGCGCGTGGTCTGACGGCAGCGCCGGATTCTCCCGTGGGCGCTTCGGCGGCTCCCACTGGACCTGGTAACTCGGTCTCGAGCCTCGACTCTCCGGCCGGGTCGCTTGTCGCCGTGGCCGGACCGTGACTCGGCACGACAACACCGGCGAGCAGGCAAGGAGTGCGCCAGTCACGCGACCCGTATAGAGTAGCTACAGCTTTCAATGTAAATCCCCTCGGGCCCCCTGCTGACACTTCTTTTCTGCGTAGGTCCGAGTCCATGTGACGTCGACCTGCGGCTCTCACTTTTGCCTTGGCAGTACGCAGACATGTGTGGTGTGACCATCTATCCGATCCATCCATCAGCGGGCTGTGTGAATGCCCTTGCCGCAAACTCGTGCTCTGCTGTACAATGTGCTGTCTCGACGTGTTCGTGTTCGACTAGTGGCAAGCCCGTGTCCCGGAGCGAACAGGCCGCACTGCCAGGGCCGTCATCACCGGCCACAATGATCAGGGCTCGGAGCAATAGACTCGATTCGCACGTGACGTCGTCGTCTCAAAGGCCTTGGTTCCTCCATCCAAAGACCTGACCAGCGAGCTTGTGCAAGAAGGTCCCTGTGTAAGTAACCCTGACTTGAGGCACCAAGGGGTCGAGACGCGCGACTCCCACGCGCCCAGCTGCCCGGGCCCTCGTGCGGCAGGCGAGGGTATCACGAGGCCCGCTGCGACCTTTGTGCGTTGCAGCAAGTCAGGGTTGAGGTTGAGGCTTGATCGCCACCGTGTAACAGAGCGTGCTCAGGTCGGGCCTGATTCTTCCCGCAAGTGTGTCTACTTCACTTCCACGAGGTCGATACTGGCAGTATTTTAGACCAACAATGTAATTCTTTACAGACAGAAAGGCCAGAGTAGTTTCTCAACCTCGTTAGGTTCTACTGGATCAATGTACAAGGTATGACTTGCTCCATTCTTTAGGACTGTCAAGAACAAAGACGGTGACGAGTCGGACTGTTTTCCGCGTGCGAATCCCGAGCAGCTCCAGGAGAAGAGGAACAGCAGTCACGGATGTTGTCGATTGTAGGGGAAATCACAGAAACACATGCTTTGCTGGCATGGGACAAGAGAGACGCTCTCGCACTTCATTTCGAGACGGGCAATGCGCTAGGATGTCGCATGAGTATCGGCTCGACACATCTCTGCGGGCCACAACCTCGCCGCGCAACATGTGTCTTCTATCTTGCAGGCGCTGCTCTTCGGTAGCAAGAGAATTATCCTGCCGCGCAGTCCGTGGCTCTAGTCGAGATTGGCTTGCGGCACCGCTGACGGTCTCTCCCCTAGAGCTACGATGCCGCCGTTTTCGTCATCCGTGACCCCTATTCCTGACGGCTGCCACGTACTACGCCGATGAACGCGCGGTACCGCCCGCCCCACGCAATACTTCCTTCGGCCTGACGGCCAGGAACAGGTCTGTTGTTGGCCGTGACGCCATTGAGACTAGTCGGGAGCTTGTCATCTCGACGACAAGAACGCCCGTTTGCTCGGCATGAACCGCTCTGCTCGGCTTGCCCCTGCCCTGCCTGATTGCCGACGTTGTGATTCGTGGCCACAACCACCATAGACACCTCGTTTCAGTTCGCGTCATTTCAATTCTCCCAGGAGCATGGTCCTGTCCGACGAGGCAGAGAGCACTGCCAGAGTTAGCGAGCGCACCCATACAGAATCTCGATAACGACCTACATATCGGCTCCTTGCCCGGCGCAAACTCGGCAGAGTTGACGGTCCCCTTGTGCCCGGGCAATTTGTACAACAACTTGCCGTTCCCGCTCGACCACACGACCACGGTTCCATCCGCCGACGCCGCGGCGATCTTCTTGCCGTCCGCGTCCCAGCTGACACCCATCAGATTCTTCTCAATGCCTACATTCGCCCCGTCGAACGTGCGGATATGTCTCTCGGTGGGTGCAAACGGACGAATATCCCACGTCCGGACCGTCGAGTCCATGGCGTACGACGCCAGTGACTGCGAATCAGGCGACACCCTGAGCGACATGATGGAATCCGAGTGCCCCAGCATGGAATACACGACCGACTTCTTGCGCAGATCCCATACGCGAATGTCGTTGTCGATACCGCCTGCAAAAATCTCATTTCCGGCAGACGACATGGCCACGGCCGTGACGGGGAAATCGGTCTGGATGTAGTCGGCGGCGTGCTTGCTGCGCGGGTCCCAGATCCCAATGGTGGAATCATCGCTGCCGCTCACGATCAAGTCCTCCCCGCGCCGCGCGACGTCGACGGCGTTGACAATCTCCTCGTGCCCGACGTATCGGCGTATCCTCGTGCCGGACGTCAGGTCCCAGCTGGCCAGATGCATGTCCGCCGATGCCGTGAACAACACCTCCGAGTCTCGCGACCATTGGAGGTCCAGAATGGCGCCCTTGTGCCCGTTTAGCAGTCCGTAGTTCTCGCAGTCGCCATACGTCCTCCAGAGCACTGGCGTGTCGTGTTAGCAAGAAATCCCCGGGTTTCGAGCCGCGCCAAACCCCTCCAAACCAGGTACATACGTATACTTCTGTCCATGGATCCCGACGCGATCAGATTGCCCGTCGGGTCGAATTTGGCTGTGAAAATCTCCCCCGTGTGGCCGGACAGCTCCATGACCGGGGCTTGCAGGGAACTTGTTCTAACATTCTGGCAACACGTGAGCTGAGATTCTGTCTCGTCTGGCGAGTGTTTTGAACATACCGTTTGAACGAGTGCATTACTGGACGCGTTCAGCCGCGCCAGGGCACCCGCTGACGTGCCAACATTTTGCCTCTTGACAAGCATCTGCGACGAGCTGGGGTCGTCCTCAGCGGGACGCTTCTCGGCAGACATTTTGGCGGGGGGTACGGAGAGAACGTGGTTCCGGCGTATGCTGTTGTTGAACGGCTCGAGGAGCAGCAAGGTCGGTGCGTCTGTACAGAGGTAGAATGTCGAGGGATTGCAGCCGTGGTCATCGCAGCCGCTGAGCAGGGAGCTTTTTTTTCCCGCGTCCAAGGCTGGAACTGCGGGTCTGCGATTGGTGGCCGGGCCGGCGATTGTTCCCTTATGAATGCTGCAGGTGTGATTTTGTCCCCACCACCGAGCACCGACACCAAGCACGGAGCTTGAGCACGGCGATGGAACCGCCCTGCTCGCATTGAGGTGGTCTCGAGACAGGCCACCGTTTACAAAGCGCTCCAAGTTTGCTGCCACCTGTGGTCGGCATCTCACCACGAGCAGCCACCACTCCCCTCCCCCGGTCTCCGTCATGGCGGCGAGCAAAGCCTCCCGCGTAGGCGAAGAGTACGTCCCCGTCCCTCCGTCCCCTTCCCAATTGCCGTACGAGCCGCCCGACTGACAAGTCCCAGAATATGGAAGTGAGCGCCTCCGCCTGCCTCCCATGAATGACCACACCAGCCATCTAACAGCTCAGGACGCGCATCGACAAAGTCAACGCCGAACTCGTGACCCTCACGTACGGCACGGTGGTAGCCCAGCTCTGCAAAGACTTTGACAGTGACTACGCCGAGGTGAACAAGCAGCTGGACAAAATGGGCTACAACATCGGTCTACGCCTCATAGAAGACTATCTCGCCAAGTCCAACACCATGAAGCGATGTGCCAACTTCAGGGAAACAGCCGACATGATTGCAAGAGTGTGTGCCCCCCCCTGTGTCGCGTCCACCCTCTTCTCTTGTCCGCGGCCCATACTGACGGAAACCAGGTCGGCTTCAAGATCTTCCTCAACATCACGCCCCAGATAACGAACTGGACCTCGGACAATAACCAATTCTCGTTGCTGTTCGACGAGAATCCGCTTGCCGACTTTGTCGAGCTCCCGGATGACGGGCGAGCCCAAGACGAACTGTGGTACTCGAATATCTTGTGTGGCGTGCTGAGGGGTGCTCTGGAAATGGTGCAGATGCAGGTGGAGGCGCATTTTGTCAGCGATGTGCTGCGGGGGAACGATACCACCGAAATGAGGGTTTCTTTGATACGGTATATTGATGATGAGCTGCCGCCCGAGGATGATTGATTCACTGATGATAGGGCATCATCGTGTAGTGCTGGCTTGGTGGGCGTATCATGGTGTGTGGCGTTTGGCTTATCGTTTTACACAGATTCCCTTGAGTTGACAATCCACGTCGACATGATATCCTGAGTCTATTGATGTGATGTGAAAAACAAAATCTCTACTGGGCAAGTCAAGGGCTCTCGGTGCATTCATCTCAAGTCAAAAAAAAACAGACCTGTGTCTAAGCATCCTTGTCACCGCGGTTGATCTGCATAACGGGGCGTGGTATGATATATTCGAAGACCGCTTTCGACGTAAACCAAACACAAAACAATCGGGATACGGCAACGACAACTCCTCAATGTCCTTCCACCTGCCTGAAACCCGGCCACTCCCCGCAGAAAGTGAGAGGGACACGTCCAAAAAAAAAAAAAAAAACTCTTCGAGAGCCAAACCACACACAAACGGGGGACGATGGGAAAATAACAAGAGATAGAAGCGGCACAAACATGCGATACTCAACAAACAACGGCTCTTTTTTTCCCATCTGTAGTCCGCAACCTCTCTCCCAAGAGCCTGGATACCGCATGACAAAGGAAAGAAATTCCGTGATATAGTAAAAGCCTCCTGAAGCGCCGTGTCGAATGATGCCAGATTAGAGTTGAGCCACAATGACGCAAAGAGTGGGTAGCAGAAACACTGGTCGGAGCCATAAAAAAGTTTCACCCACTTGTCCTCGTTTTTTGTCTTTTCGTCCCTACAAATATGCATATTTTTTTCTGTTCCCGTACCGCTGAGCTCTACTCGGCTCCGATCGGATCACCTCCTTCCATGCTTGAAAAGCCGTTAAAATCGAACGGCTCCGTATTGTCTTCATGAAGGAACGAGTCGAAGTCGAAGTCGTTCAGTACATCGCCAGACTGCAGGGGATTGGCAAGCTCCATAGATCCAAACTCCATCTGGACAGGCAGTTAGTGGGACGTCAAAATATAGTTGAAATATTTCATTGGAGACTTACAATGCTGCCAAAATTGTCCATCATTCCGTTCTGACTTGGATCGCCATGGGCCTGAGGCGGTACAGGTGCGGCTTGAGGAGCCGGTGCAGCAGCTGGAGCAGTGGTGGTCGTGGCGGCCTGTGCATTGGCGCCAGTAACTCCGTTCTGCGCATTCTTGTTGAATCCTGCGTTGCCCGGAGTAATAGGCGTCACTGGCGTGGCCTCTGTCTCGCCCGGGTTCTCGCCGGCTGGGGTAGCTCCGGCAGGGTTGGCATTTTGGCTGGCCTTCTTTGCGGCGGCGGCGGCGCGCTGTATACATGTTAGCTTTGCAAGATACGAATACAAATGAAACAGATACTGAGGAAAGGGGGGGGAGTCCATATTCTTACCTTCTCCTTGGCAGCTTTTGTCTCCTTCTTCTTGGGCGCAGGCTTGTTCCCTTGACTTGGCGTCGGAGGAGCAGCCGCAGCCTGCTGGGGCGACGCAGTCGTTCGGCTACTGGGATTCGCAGTGGCGGCAGGCGCCGAAGGTGGAGGCATCGATCGTTGTTGCGGCGTTCCTTGCACCTGCTGGTTCTGTTGCATGCCCTGAGGCGTTTGACCATTGGGACCTTGTTGCCATTGCCCTGATGCGCCCTGGCCAGCTTGCTGTCCTTGTTGCCCCTGTGCCTGTTGTTGCATTTGGCGTGCTGCCATCATCTGCTGTGGGTTCATCTGACCGTTGAATGGCTGTCCAGGGTGCGAGCTTGGTGGCCTCATGCCGTTCATTTGGGCCTGGGTCATGTCGGTACCAGGCTTGAAGAAGTGAGGTGCCATGCTGGGGTCGGCTTGGTTGCCCATAAAGTTCATGGCCGGGTTGGGAGACTCGCGCGATTGAGCACCTTCAGGGACCGGTGACGGGATGCCCGAATTGTTCATCTGGGGGGTGCCACGCTTCATCTGGTCGGCAGGGTTTGGTGACGCTCCAGACCGCATCGTCTGCGGGGAAGCTTCAGGGAAGGACTGGCCATTGGGGCCCTGAACCGGCTGGCCCGGAGGACCAGGAGCGGCTCCATCCCTTGTGGGCATGCCAGTGATGGTGTCCTGTTCCTGGCGGGCCATCATGAGGCGCTTCTTGTTCTGCTGCTCCAGCAACATCAACTGCATCTGGTAGTCCTGCAAGGCATGATTACTCCCCGCAGCGGCTTGGGCACCGCCAGGGCCTGGCCGGATCCCCCCTGGACCAGCCATTTCACCGGTAGGGTTGTAAAAGGCATTGAGCGCAGTTCCGTCAGGTCCTGGCCCCATCATGGGCGAGCCCTGATTCTGAGGTCCCCCGACGTTTGGCATTTGTTGCTTGTTGCCCATCTGGGTGCCATGGTGCTGTTGCAGGTTCTGAGAGTACGTGGCTATCGATTTTTGCTGAGCAGCCGGCGGAGCGTTGACAAAGTTTTGAAACTGTTGCGGATTTAAGCTACTTGGGTTGATACCATTTGCGGTCAGCATCTGCTGAGCGGCTGCGACGTTTGGGTTGTTCGGCATCTGCTGTCCGGGTATGCCTTGAGCGGGTCGGCCGTTGGCGACCATCCCGGGCTGGTTAGGGTTAAAAGGTGTTCCTCCATCGATACGTGGTCTCTTGGAAGGTGACGGCGCATTCTCTCCGGACGCGGGTGACGACGGGCGATCACGGCTCTGATCCATACCAGACGGATCACGCTGCATCTGGTTCTGCTTGGCCTGCTGCATCATCATCTGGGGACTGGGACAGGGCACAGCGAATTAGCAACGACGTCGTTTTACACCGTCATGGGGTTCAATGAAGCGTACTTATTCTGGTTGTTCGCCATGGCAGCACGGGCGAGGTTGCCCTGCTTCATGCCAATATTCATGTTGCCATTCTGCATTCTCATCATCTGGGCTGTATATTGTTGTTGCGCAAGGTCATTGGGGCGCATCTGACGCAGCAGCTCTTGTTGCTGGTTTTGCTTCAATCGGGACTGTTGCTGTCGGGGAGGGCCTGGCATTAGCCGATGCGATATACGAGACGAGCACGTCCAGAGCAGTAGGGGCTGTGGCGGGACGTGAGAACAGCCTCTGGGGTTCGACATACCTGGGTGTGAGCAACATATTGGTTGACGGTGCCATTGCCACCCTTGACACGCTGAGCGTTGTAGATGTCCCAAAAGAGACAGAACCACTCGTAAAGAAACGAAGAGTCGGAGGCTGGCATAGGGAGCTTGGGAGGCGGCAGGCCATCGGGCAGCTTGTCCAAGTCATCCTTGGAGTCGGTGTCCATGGGATCTTCGCCGTTGGCGGCGTTGCCACCCTTTCCCTCTTTGTGGACGTTTACCTGCTGATTGCTCGACAGCAGCGAGCGAGCGCAGTCAAACATTTCATAGCGGATGAAGTATTCGTAGATGTAGGTGTTGAGGACGCCGCGCTGATTGTCAAGCTGTGACTGTCGTGCGGCGGCGGCGGCGGCGGCGGCGGCCTGCTGAGGATTCAAGGGAACACCATTGTTCATCATGGGCATTGGCGCGCCGCCGACAGGCCCGCCCATGGGGTTCATGTTGGCCATGCCCATATTCGGGTTCATGGCCATGATGAACGGCGGGTGTATGAGCAGCTGCGACGCGGGCGAGCCAGTAGAGGGTGGTGTGGAGGAGAGGTGAGGTTGGAGAGGTTATCACTTATCACAGTGACTGCCCAGCGAGAACGGCGACCGGGCGGGAAAAAAAAAAAGGACGGTCTGCCTCGCAAACTCCACGAGTCTGACGCCGGGCCGTGAGCAGCGAAGCAAAAGAAGACGGGACGGGACAAGACAGCCCTGAGCAGCCCAAGCCGGTGTGGCCGTTTGGCGTGGCGTAGGTGAGAGGGGCGAGAGTCAGTCCGTCGACAACCAGTCGCGGCAGACGGCAGACAGTAGACGCAGACGGGTCGGGCAGGGGTTTTAGATGGTCGGTCGCGGCGGTCGAAGCAAGTCGGAGGGCGGAACAGCAGCGATGATGCGCAAATGTGCAGACGACGGAGAAGATGGCCTCGCGGCGAGAGCGATGCGCGCGATGGGACAGAGCAAGGAATGAAAACGACGGGGAGAAAAAGAATGGATATTGATGAATGATTGATGGGTGAAGAGATGGTGTGAAGGCGGACGTAGAGTTTCGCCTTTGCCTGGTCTGGGCTGGGCTGGGCTGGGCTGGGGGCTGGGCGCGCGAGAAGAGAGGAAGAGAGGGAGAGGGAGCTTGAGCACTGGGAGCCTGGTCCGGCTTCACGGCGAGCACCAGAGCTGCCGGAACTGCGGCCAGCAGAAATTTCACCAAGCGCTTGATTTGAGTTTGACGAGTTGACGGTTGACGTCTGACTGTTGGATATCGAGGTGCCGGGCAGCCCTGAGAGGCTCGCGGGTGCCTTGCTTGTGGCCGTTTCGCAAATATCCACGCTTGGCAGCCCTGATCGTGGCCGCGATGCAGTCGTGTCAGCTTGAGCGTCTCCGTCAGCGCTCGAGGTGGCCCGTGGAGACAGTTGTCGCGATGGACATGGGAACTAGACGGTGGGAAGCCTCTATTCTGATGGACAAGAGGCTGAAATCCATGCCTGTCGCCGGGCTGGGTGGAGGCGGACACGGAGCCAGAGGCCCTTTGGCACTCAGCAATCTTCGTCCATGTCAGGCCGGATGCGAGACAGAGACGGCCAGAGGCCCAGAGCCCCAAGCCCGGAAACTGGCACAGGTCCCTGGGTGCATATACAGTGTGCATGGCGCCGAGGTCATCGACGCGCACTGCGGGGCCTTGCACGGTGTGCGCGCTCACTGCGTGGTTACACGAGGGCCGTGCGAGTCACAGTGTGGGCAAACTGGCCCTGCCAACGTTGGCAGAGGAATATGGCCGCACACCGTACAGCTCAACGTCCCGCAGCGGGTATAGGCACTGTCTCGACGGAGGAATGGCAGAAAGAAAACCCTTGTCGTCGAGAAAAACCACGGGTCCCATAGCGCCGAGCTCTGGTGCGCCAGCACTTGCACCACAGACGTATTCCTCAGACCAGCAGCGTATTTCTCGGCCCGCGGGCAGGGGCACTGCTGCCTCAGGCAGCACGAGGCGACATTGGGGCACCCTGCTTCGCCCTGCGGCACCATGACGGTGCAAAATCATCCAACGGCAACACAAGCCCGGCCACAATGCAATTTACCCTGAGCAATCCATTACCTCAGGCCAATGACGGTGTCGCGTCGTGAGGCACTTGGGTCATGAATCCCTGACCCATCTCATGATTTGACTGAAGGTGGTTGAGCCACGGGACGCGGTAGCAAACACGCTTGGCTGACTGGCAGCACCGGGTGCGCCAAGTTTAATCGAACCACTTGCCGTTGCGCAATTCTGCCCAGTCGTGGTCGTTTTTTTCTTTTTTTTCTTGTTCTGCTCGGTACTCTGGATTGCCGACAATCGACATGCGCGAGGGGAGCTTTTCCTGCCGTGATTTTCCCTCGAAGCCAACTACAGTCTAACCGCAACTGGACGAGAAGGGGGGAAGAGGAATAGAAACTCGTTTAACACGCACCAATCTTTTTCCAGGAACCAAATACTGAACATGACATGACGCATCAACGGCACGTGTCCGTGCTGCGCTGTTAATACTATGCGTATGCTCTCCCCATGTCCAAGTCATGGTGTGACTTCATACTTGCTTCTTACTTGCACGCGCTCTTGTGACTCTTGTGTCGTGTCACACTTTGCGTCTTGGGGCCCGACTTGATTCTCCCCACGTCTTTACACCGTTCATTCTGATGCTGTGACCGAATGACAAGACGCCCGCAAACCGCAAAAGCCAAAAGCGGAAGCATCAAAACCAGAATATAAACTCCAAGTTCCGTGCACTGCTATGAAGTCTTGATTCCCTGCTGGCTCGTTTCCCGTCGGAAGCGATCGTGGGCGGATCAGGTATGCGAGGCATTGCACCAACTCGCTACCCTAGACAATTCTCTAGTTATCACCTATGTCTCTTTCTATTGCTAGACAAAATGCTTTCCCATTACTTCTGCATTACTGGTGAAAACACTACATGCTTGTCTCGCATTCCCCTTCTCTCCTCCTCGGCCGGGCTATTTTGACCCCTTTAATCCCGGCCCCTATTCAGGGTGCATTGCCGCATAACTCACCCAAATCACACTAGAGCTTCATTGACAACCTACATCCCAGCCGGCATGAGCCAAAATACTTTTAACCTTCCACGCGGCCGGATTCCTGGCCAATGGGGCTATCTTGACCTTTTCGCTGGCAAGGCTGGGCAGTGCGAGCACTGAGTGGTCTCATACTGAACGTACAAAGCATTGCGTTCCAAAATTCTTACCGTGCAACGCTCTGAGATAAAACTAGTGCGACTCACAGATGGTGCGTATAGATGTACATGGACACAGAAAATAAGTCGTTGGCGGACCGTTCGAGGTTCCAAGTGTTGACCAAGTGTCGTGTCCGGTCTTGTCACACGGAAACATCGGCCAACAACATGACGAGCTGCCACGCACAAAGGCTACAGGCCTCGTGATGCCTCACAGGCCACAAAAGGGCTCGAGGCCAGAGGATGTCTGAGGCCCAAGGCATCAAGCGACCTGGATGCTTCTGTCATCTAGGTCGGGTCACACACACAGGAAGCATCGTGTGTATAGAAGGCTCGTAGGTCGGGTCCTCAGGTTGAACCTGCACACCTTCAAGGCCACACGATATTAGTCTTGAATTGAGGTATGTTGCTGCAAGCCCTCTATATGAAGCGCTTGTCACAGGTGTTGCGGCTCGAGCCGTAAGCGTCAACCTACAAGTACCGGAAGCTCTCCAACATGCAATCTACAGTGCCGTATCTGTCATCTATAAAGCGATCAAGGCAGGTAGAACCGAAGAAGTGAAGCATGGCGCGCGGGGGTGCTGCACCCACGAATCTAGAGATCCGGATGCTTCTTGCGAGAAACGCCAAAGACAGCGGTAGCGATGTTGACGACGACGACGACGACGACGACAGAAATAGCAGGAGGGATTCAAGATCCTCAGTCCCATCTATTTCGTTATTGTTACGTATTTCCGAGAAGCATATAGATGAATTTGTTTGTGGTTAAATATCAACACGTGTCTAATTAACATTTGTGCCATCGTCAATATCGGCGAATAGACCGAAATAATGCTCAATTTTGCAAGACTTGGATGGGAAGCCTCATAAAGCTTTACGCTATCCGGTCGAGTTCAGAGAACTACTAACAGCAGTTGTAGTTGGAGCCTTTGCTATAGTCAACCTGATAATTACTGACAATAACAAAGTGTCTTTCAAAAAACCCTTGGTATCCACAAAAAGAGGTCAAAATCACACATATTCGGGTTGAATAAAAAGGAAATTTAGAGCTCCTGAATGTCCGGACCCACTGTATTTTTGATTGAGGATGTTCAGGCAGACGAGAGTCCGACATCACAGGAGAGGGAAGGACGGCTATTAACCACGCGAGTGTTGACCTCACAGAAGGAGGAAAAAATGTCCCCTTGGTATACAAAGACATCTATAATATCACGCGTTGACACAGTTCAAACGGATAAGAACTAGCCTGAGCTTCATCTCAGTGCTTTCCGTCTCATTGAACTTATGACTAGTTCTCTAGATATTCGTATAAGCAAGAATTTAGAGAGGTTTGCCCTGCGGCAAGCCGTGTTCATAATAGGCATCTGGCGTATTTTAGAACCGGCTGTTAGCCCAGATCTTTCGTGCTTGTCATTCGACTCTCCAGAAAACATCTATTCGTTAAAAGGGGTACGGCACTGACCTTATCAAAGGACTATATTTGCCTGCCGCTGTCATCTCGGAGCATTGACAAATCACATTACGGGTACACGGTCTGAAGGCCTTGTTGTACAAATCTCTACGGCTCGATTTAAGTTGATGTTGCTTTCTCTTGTTGATTCACCACTACTAGAAAAACTGTTTCTGGAGGACGAGGATGCCGCTCAATGATCAATCTATCCGCCTCTAACTATATAACCTAAGGCATTCCCCGCTGCGTTCCCCGCTCTCTCATGCCCTTCCGCAGTACGATCAACGTGACGGAGACAAGTCAGCAAGAATCAGCTCGGACATGCCTTGTGACTTGTCTCGGAGGGAAGAACATCATTGATAAGATACCCTTGTCTCAGCCCCCAGAAACCGCTGGCCACAAGCTTCCGAGTCCGCCTGCACTTGACTGAGACACGGTAGGTGCTCTTGCGTTTGTCAAAAAAGGATGAGGCAAAAAGAATTGCAAACCGTAGTTATTAGCAAAGCTTGCAGCGCAGCAGCCCCAAGACGTATCAAAAATTCGACGGAGATAGGACTCGAACCTGCGCGGGCGAACCCAACGAATTTCTAGTTCGGTCGCCTTAACCACTCGGCCACTCCGCCACTCGGCCACTCCGCCTTCCAATTCGCCCGACTTATTCACTGGTACAAGGCTTTAGCATCATCCTTTTTGGCTGGGATGCTGGTCTAGTCACGAGAGGCGGTCCACAATATGCGGGACGCGGCTCCGCTTTCAATTTCAATTGGCTTTACTTATTCGCCATCCCACGAGTTGTGTCACTTGTGCATCCCAACTTC